TTTAAGTTGTAAAAAAAAAAAAAAAAGAAGGTGTATAGCACATGTAAATTTTCTTATTCACTTAATCATAATAGAAAGATGCATTGCCACAGTTACATTACACTGGGGACTGGGGTGTTAGTATAATCCACCGTCGAACATCAATATAACGAATTGAAAAGAAGACTTCAAGTTAATTACAGAGTCAAAAAAACCAAACAGAAGTTTACACACTACATCAGCTATATAGCACATTTACTCGGTGGCCGTGACTCTGAAAGTTGACTATCAATCAGTTCAAACCCTGCAAAAGATCCCACTATAACTTATTAGAAACAAAATGAGATGCATAAAAGAAAGTCAAATCATCAATGTCATGTTTTATATCGGTGTTAAGTTACCCTCAAACGTGCTGAACGACGACAAGAGGAAGATTGAAGAGAGAGTCCTTTAGTGACTTTTCTCGATTTGCTTTGAGACTCGAGAAATTCCAGTTGTCCCTTTTCCTTGCGTGGGGTTTGAAGACTACGTTCGGTTGAAACTGGAGATACAGGGGCGGAAAGTGAAATTACCGAGGGGTCTTGATCATGAGATGAGAAGCGCTGAGAAATCCCTGGGTAGTTTGCATGAGATATTACTATTAGTCTCAACATTACGAAAAAACCCAGTTACATTTGACTCTACCTCGAATTTAAGATAAATGTAATAAGGGGTGGTTTCTAAATTGGCTTGCTTTATTACAAGAGGAAACACGGGCCAGAGTCAAACCTAAAGGGGTTTTTTTTCGGAACTTTGAAAGTTTTCTTTTTGATAAATACCTCAAAAAAAAAAAGGAGTTATTATTATAAGCATACATTTTTCCTGCTAAAATCAGTAAGACATGAAGGATACACGATCGTACTACCTCTTGTTGCAGATTCTTGAAATTTTTCTCTCATCATCCTCACAAATTTGAACAGTCCATTGGTTTTGTTCAACTCATTTACCATCTTTTTTGTATCACTCAGAGGTGGATCACATTTGAGCACTGAGAGAGTATCCACAGTGAGACTTATAAAAAGATTTTTTCAATGGGGAAAAAGAAAAAATCAATCAAAATTGTGCATATTTGCTTACAAGTGTAGATGTCATTCTCATGGCGAATGGTAAAGGAGTACTCCTCCTGAGGGTTCTCTCGGTTGATGTTACAGAAAACAAATTTCACACCTTCATGTGGGGGCAAGGAGAGAAAATAGGAAAAATAAGCCATCAAAGCATAAAAGGATAAATGATAATTTTACATGTTTTGAGCAAAGTCTAGGAAAATTTACCATGACCACATTCAATACGGAACCCAAGGACCCTGTTGTACCATGAAATGGCTTCCTCTATTTGTTTTTGATGTTCTTTTTTTCCGGAACATTTTTCCTTGGAAGCTGTTAGAGCTAGTATAAATAAAAAAAAAA